TCCATCTATCTATCTATCTATCTATCTATCCATCTATCTATATCTTTACACAGTTTGATGAAGGATACTGAGTCTTCCAGGTCAACTGACTTATTAAAAAAATAATTACAACACTTTAATCTTGGGTTTAAAAACAGAAAATATCACAGTTGTACTGTGATCTATCGAATATTACCACCATTTCATGCAAAGACTAAGACACAGCTGTAGCAATACACGTATTATCTTGCAATGGTCACACACAAAAACAGATGAGGACAATCTGTAGAGATGCAGATCACCCTCACCAACGACGTGTATAGTAATGAATAATGGTAATGATTTTTGAAAAACTATGACGTGTATAGTAATGACAAAAATAATGGTAATGATTTTTGAAAAACTATGAATGTAATACATTCAGCTCTTTTCAGAGAGAGCTGCCATCTTAAGTCAATTGTTTTAAGTTAAAGGGTTTTTATTACTATCTGCTCCAAACTGCAGAAGTGATAACTGGCCTACCCCTGTAAGGCAAACACTATCTCAACGTTTTACACCCAAAACATGTTGTAGTAAAGTGTTATTACGTCACTCGTTTCGCCTGGATGCCATTTTTTTTAAAAGATCTCTTAACAACACTCACAACAAAAAAAAAGATCTCTTAACAACACTCACAACAGAGAATCACTGCGTTTAAAAACAAATCTGTTTTCCACTGGTGAAACTGGAAATGCACAATTAGCCTGTTTTCAATTGATTGCCTGTTTCCTCATCCTTAATTTGTTTACCTTCGCAGGGCATTTCCTTTAATCACAACACAACAAAAGCTGCGTCAACCAGATCCAGTGCCACACCGACCTCTGCGTGCACGAGCGCCAGGGCCAGCGCGCTTTAGGGATGTGAGTGTGTCACGGTGGGTCAGAGGGGGTGGGTGTTTAAGGTACACCTGTGCGTCACACAGCCCACTCGCGAAGTGATGTCTCGTCAGGTACAGGATGCACTCTGCACACAACATCAACCCACTCTTCGTTATCGATCGGCACACATGCTCCGAGTAAACCTCACAATATTTTCACTTCATTCATCACGACCAACTCTTCCAGGAGTTTCAAGAACACGTTTAGAGGACGCGTGATGGTGCGTCTGCGTTAACACCCGTGGTCAGTGAACGCGCCCTCTCTTTAAAAAGTGATCTTCAGAATGAACTATATCTTTTAATAATCTATTTGACAGCAACATAAACCGACGTTTCGCCTCCCGATGTCTTTGACTGTAACAGCTGACTGTCTCTGAGAACCATCCAAACAATGGATGGGAAGTCTCTGCGCTGCTTTTTTGAGACAATATTTACTTTTTAGAGCAACTGTTTTATAAACAAGGATGGCCTATTATTTGGATCACAATGAAAGAAAACATTTTCGTCTTAGGGGGGGGGGGGTAGATTAGATTGTCGTCACAGAAAAAACAGTGCCACTTTACTTTTCAAGTAATTAATAAAAGAACAAACAAACAAAAAAATCAAACAGGATCAGTTTTTAGAAACACCTACCGGATAAGTGCAAGAGATTCACAAAAGAGCTCCGTTTCCAATTAATGAGCAATAGACGGACCTATGTGCCAAACCGCAAGGAGCCAGTGAGAGGCTATGAAGATACCGCTATGGAGTTTCCCAGTGAGTTATTATGGACATGCCTTAATGTTTTTCCCCTGTGTAGCCTGCCTTTGGTCATTAGTCTATTTTTACGCTTTAGGCAAAAGCACGGGTTGATGTTTAACCGCACCCCGCGGTGCGCCTTTTGCTCTTCGGTTCAATCACGTTATCGCTAAATCCTCGGGGGAGGCAAATAAAAGGTTTTGCCAAGGCACAGCAGTGATGCTAAATCTGGTAGGTGTCTTCAGTACAGATCCGTGCAGACCACTGATCTGAGCTGCTGCACACGCTGTGGGATCCGGGACCCGCTGCGCATTTTTCCGCGTCGCCCTGACTTTTGACTGGACACGACTGGATGTGCCCTCTCGTTTGAGACGTGACGCGTGTGCGCCTTTTGTTCACTCTTTCACGATGTTTTTAAAAGATGTGGCACCTGCTTGTAGATGTTGCAGAAATCGTGTAGAGGTAAGAGCGCTTCAGTGTTGTACAATGTGCTGCATCAGTCTGTATAATTGTAGAGTATCCATGGTCATTTAGCAAGGATCCATAAAGTATGGATGGATTTTTATGTATTTGCCTTCTGTTTGTGGGTTTCTTGTGATTGTATTTTTTTTTTTAAATCAGACGTCTGCTCTCCTTAATGCCGTCTTTCAACTTTCTAACAAACTCCAGTACCTTCTGAACACCACTGAACACTATTTATCATTTCATGGAAATGGTGTGCCTCTGCGTGTCATGCTGTTTCCCAGAAAACGCATGCACATTGAGCTATACTGCGCAAAACTATAATATTCTCAGTAATCTGTGAATTATTTTATTCACCATATTATCATTTTCTAAAAAAAAGTACAGAAACTTAATAAATGCAAATAACCTTCATTGCTGTTGAAGCTGACACACGACATGATGTTGGAGAGATTTAGGAGTTTAATTTTTTACTTTTGTTCACTTTAGTCACTATGCTGTTCCATGACAAGTCAGTGGGTTTATCTAAGTACGTAAGCTGAGAGTGCAGTCTTTGTCCGGCTCGTCACATCCTTATGTCAGCAGAAAGGAGGATTGAGTCGAAGATGACATGAGGAAATATCAGTGGATCCAAACAGGACCTTATGTCACCGGTGTGTCATTTGATATTGACTCACATGTTTGTCATAGGGAAACCCTATGAAATAATGGTAGGAATGAATTATCTCCAAGCCAAGATCTATTTAAATAGTATCTCATTGTCAGTGCTTTGTGCCATTTAGCCGAACAAGAGCCACACATGTCCACCTGCTTTACACATCTGAGTTTAAGTAGCACGTGTCAAAGCCGCTCTTTCACACAAGCATCCGTTCAACTCTCTTTAAAGCATCTGTCACCTATTCGGATCGGGGCTTGCTGTTACTCAAGCACTGCCACTTGCGGTCCACAGCTCCCAATTTAAAATAGTAACATGACTTTGGCAGCTTACGCCAGAAGACAATACTGCATGCTAACATTTAGTTTGGCCACAGTCCTGGAAAGCAAATCCCCCCACCGTAAAGAGAGCAGGGAGAGATGGAGAGAAAAGAGTAAAGGGGGGACGCACGCATCTGTGCTCGTGCACACGCGGCTCAGATCGATCCATTCTCACGTAGGCAATGGCGGAGGTGAAAAGGTCGCTGGTAATCCTCAAGCTGAGTCACACACACTTATTTAACAAAGTGGCCGCATTCTAGAGAACGGCAAAAGCCAGGGCATTCATTAACTGCAAACATCACTTTGAAACTTTTCTATTTGCTGGATTCATGTCAAAATGATTTAAGAATGTTTTTTTGAATGTGGAGCCATAATGTAGAAAGACCTCCTAGTCTTGTATAAACTCTAAGGTGGAAGTCTAAGAAGGACCTTGCTGAGATACATCTACTAGTAAATTTCAGTAGTGGCAGACCTGAGTGTAGCGGCCACTTTGACAGCCAGCAAGAGTGACAAATGGCCCAAAAATATAGTAAAGGACATTTGTATTGTATTGTCTCGGTTAGTATCAGATTTCTGCATTGCTTTTAACCTAAACCTATAAGTAACAGCGATCCTATAAGGAGCCCAACGCCCCCAATTTTGTTAAGTCATTAGCAACTGGACATGTTCCTATATTCAGTGAATGAGGAGAACATGCGTTTATTCAAAATGGAATTAGTGCTTAGTTTATGTTAAAACAGCAATCTCAGCACAAAGACGTGAATTACTGCATGACCACCGGGCCTTGGCCCAAAACAAAGGACACAGGTCCGAGTTTCAGTGGATTTCAGAGTTTCACTGTATAATCCAAAAGGAAATATTTAAATAAGAATAACTGATGCAAAGCAGATAGGGATAGTGTACTGGCAAAGAATACTGAAGGACTTAAAGACATCCTACCAGAGGAGTTGGCGGAAGTAGCTAGATAGAAGAGAGATTCCTCTGCCACTGTCATCCAAATGAGACAAGATCTTTTTTATTATTATTATTTTTCCTTTTTTGAATAAGTAACCTAAGTAGGGTTAGGTTGAACTTTATTAATCCTGCACTGCAGAAATTATTTGATAATTCTGTGCAAATGTATGGACTGAGCCCTCAGGAGAAGGCACAGGTTGCAGCTTATCAGAAGCCACACTGTAGTTAAGAGCTTCTGCTGCACAGGCTGATGTAAACTGTTAATTAGCAAACAAGGACGCTGTGCTTCCTACATCAACAGTTGCTGCAACCGATGGCTACTACCATGATTGGGGGACACCTGAATTGGGTTGAAATTATTGGGAACCCATAGCAGAAACCATTTTTCATTTATGTTAATCACGACCTTTCATCAACACCTCACTGCTGTATCGCTGAGTGTATTCAGTTTACAAAACATAGGCAGCGGTTCTGCTACCATGTGCAGTTTTTCAAATACGGACTGGTTCCTCGTCTATGAAGCACAATGAAAACAGATGTTCAAATGTGTTCAAACGGATTCCAAGTACCTTGACTAATTAGTGGCTGCCAACCTGTAACATCATTTAACGATTTAAAACTGAATTCATACTAGTTATCTCGATCTGGACCCAGTTTGACCTGTCGTCTTTGGAAAATCCCATGTATTCACTCTCATGCTTTTGCGTCACACATTTAGGCTGATGTGAAAGGATGCATTCAGCATCTGGCACGGAAGAATAAGGCTCGATGCCCACAGGACATAAACGGCAGAAGAACTCTGTTTGACTGGTTCAACTTCAGCTTGGACATACTTTCCATTTGAAGTTTCTCTATCAACTGTCTACGTAACGTCACATTCACTAGTCTGATTTTACTAAAAAGAGCCTGGCTACTGTACATCCAATTACATGATCAGAATGTTAGTGTAGCTGTGTTTGCTTGAGACATGTAATGTTGATTCAATAATGAATCAGATGACTCACATACTGCGCCACATTGAGACGTGTCAATGGGGATTTTGGATACGATACATTATATATATATAAACATTATGACATAATACGATATGCTATGAAATGATAAAAAGATGCAACTTAAGACCTTGCATGGCCAAGGAAAAAAAAAGAACGAAAGCATACAGCTTAAACATACAGTGAACACAAGCACATTTAGCCAATCAGAGCATGACAGCAATTAGAAATAGTAATCATTGTATAATATTTAACAGAACACTATATTTTCTTAAAAAAAGTATGATTGTTATTTTGGGGGGTTGGAGAGGGTTATTATTCTGACAAATTATAGTTGTCACTCTTTCACAAAGACATTTCTTTATCCTTAAAACACTAAAATCTTACTCAGCATTGGAAAATGTGGCATTTGTCAACAGCGGACAGGAGTTTCACAGGAGACTCCGAACAAAACGTTTTTTGACAAAGGAACAAATTTAAGGCAACAATGTAACTGTAAATGTTTAAATGGTTGCTTTCTGTTTACAAGTTAACATAGTGTTATATAAACTGGTCTATAGCAACACAAACCCAGAGCTTGTAGCATATTTATGTTAATAAAAATGTCACAAAGGAGACAGAACCTTCTTAGCAGCCTACAATCCATAACTACGATCATGTCATTATGAGCCTCTTTATGTTTATTCTAATAAAAGTATTTCTTCAATTTATTTATGTATTATATTGTATCTTTTTTATGTTCTTGTGTTTTATATTAAGAATATTATCGTAACTATAGTTCTGAACAATTTGCTAAAGTCATGTTTGGGCGATTGAGTCTCAGTTTCCAGTTTGAGAAGATTTAAGATTAAGTTTAACTGGCAGATAAAACCCTCAGCAACTTCAACTTCAGAGCTTTTAGAAACCATAACAAGACCTGGGTATATAGAATTGTTGGCTTATTTATACTTAATCACTGAAATGCCCATAAACATTGTCCAGTAATTACCAACTATTGAAACAAGGAAAATATTTATAGAAAGTCTGTGTTTGTGGGTTAATTTGTATCTTACATGTTCTCCTGAGCTGCGTCCTTGTTCAAACATGTCATCACGTGGATTTTGATGTAGCCTTTGAATTGCTGTGTCTCTCTGTGATGTGCAGGACTTCTCGCCTTGTTGCTGATTTTGCTGGAGTGGACCCAGACAGGTCTCCTGTACCCTCTCAGGCCGATCTGCGACCGGAAGGTCCTAGAACTCTTCATAAAAGAGGCAAGAGATGCTGAAGATGCTATGGTGAGAGAGAAAAGCATACATGTAATCAGACTATAAAAAAAGTTAAATGCTGGAATGTTTTATTGTTTACCTACACCTATGCTTTTGCTGCTCTTTTTTTGTAGAAGTCCTGCAGTGATGGATGCAGCCTATCAAACTCTGTCACAGTTCCTAAAACCCAAGTCGTCTTAGACTTATGGGAACATAAAAACGTAAGTAAGCTGGCAAAACAAAATATTCTTTAGATTAAACATTGTACTTTTATCACATTGTAACCCATCTATTTTGTTAACGCAGAGCACATAGCCCCCTTCTTGACCTGCAGATGGTAATAGGTACATATTTGAAAGCTTCATCCCATTATTATCCCATTATTATAGTTTACTGATGTAGAACGTTGTTTTAAAAAATCTATTTATCTACAATCAAACAATTTAACAATTTAAAAATTAAATAAATTACCACGGGGCATAACAAACGCACATGATTACAGACATGTGAGAGCCCTCTGCGTGTGGGTGTTGAATGAGCCTAAACGAATGCTAAAGACCTAGCGCCTGGCTAGCGCTAAAGCAGACTTCGTTAAACGTTCTAAGCCGTAAATAACTACATACTACATAACTAAGAAAAGATACTTGGTTGCTTAACCCCGCTTTATGAAAATAATAATTTTAAATGTTTACAGAAAAGTACGGGGTTAGGTTACTAATCCTGTTAGCTTGACAGCGAGTATATGAGGCTCAGAGGGATATTGCCTCCACCTGGTGGAAATGTTTTTCAGTGCAAAATATTCCATTTAAAATGAACGACGGGTTGACGTTAAACTAATCTATGGTTTATTTGTGAGAAAATTATACATGCTTTAAGCAGCTACAGATAATACACCAATAGACAATATCTTTAACCAACATTGATTGATTCAACCAAAACATTGATTATGTGCCTGATTGTACTGTGTAAATCCACTCAAACAGTCAAAAACCAGATTAAACCAATGATAACTTTATCTTAGATTATATAAACATTTAGAAAAGAGGCATACAATATATTTTTAAAAATTCCAATACTATATTTAGGAAGATTTGAACTCTTCACAAACTGTATTTCTGTTATAAATTGATCCACTTTTTTTATTTTCAATGTCCAACATTTCCAATGCAATGTCATGGTAAATTTTGGAGACAATTTTCCCTTTCATTGACGTGAAAGAGACAAACTAGCTGGATCATAGATTTTTATGATAACTAGATCGAAATTCAACCTATGATGTACAATCCTGGTCCCCTATTTTACTGTAGATGAGCACCTTGTTCCATTTAGGGGGTGCTATTCTTACACGTCCAACAGCTCTACCAATTATGTTTTTAGTGGATTTACACAACATCATCTTTGTAAACAAACTCTGCACAGATATTGCATGACACATTAAAGTGTCCAGAGGTAGGGTAAAATCACAATGTTCTCTACTTAGGTATTCTGTTGGTGTTGTACCTGCTTTGCTTGTTTCCTTTCTCATAAATTAATATACTGTACATTGTAACACCTGATATTTCCTCGCTTTTCACAAGGAACTTGAGAAAGCCCAGGAGGTGCAGTCTGGCCTATGGCTTATAGAAAAGGCCCTGAATTTGCTACGGACCAACGTCAGAAACACAGCACTGCACAGCCATATAGACAACTCTATTAGAAATCTGGGCAGCCTCAACGCTGTTCTGCTTCGTCTCAATATCCAGGTGAGTTCAATTATGTCAGTTTAGTTGCAAGTGCGGAAAATCAAAGAATACTTTTATTACCTTTATAATCAGGGGATTAGTCAATTCATGGCACACCACGCAAAATACAGCTTCACATGCACACACTCAAAACTACAGCCTAGCAAATGTTAAATCATTCATGTCCTGTGATAAAGATTCACGTGTTTATAATAACATTTTAAAAAGTTTTGTTTAATTAGTGCTGCACCCAAATAGTGCAGTGAATGAGGTTGATTTGTAAACATAACTAAGTAGACCTGAGTCTACTTAGAGTCATGTATGCACAGATGTGTTATGTCATTTATTAAATAATGTGGTGACTTTTTATTCACTGCGTTGGATTCTGATGAAACTTGGCAATAAAGGAATGTCATGGGACTTCAAGCTTTAGGCACCTAACTGTTGTAAGTTGTGACAACACTGCCTTTGAAATGATTCAGGCCCACACTGCAAACAGACCAACAGAATATGAGTGAGCAATCTGTCCAGCTTCTGGGGTCCTTGAATCTTAGTCACATGGCAACCAACGAGAAAAAAAATCAAGAAAAAACATGAAGAATGTACGTTTGTTATTTAAAATACAAATATATGTATGTGGGTCAATGACATGCATATTTTTATGTTAATCTATTCATGACATCTTTCACTTTATTCTACAAACCTTATTTATTTTTTAATACATTATTCAACAAATTAAAATAATTGTGTTCGAAGATTTTCATCTCAAACCCCTAAGATATCAGGTGGTGCAAGTGTCTGAGCAAATGAGCAGAATAGTGTCTGGATCTTTTTTTTTTTTTTTCTAATATCAATAGTTTTCAAAGTGTTAAAATAACTGCACGTTTGTCCAGCACTTTACATTTCTTAAATATCAGCCTGGCACAATGATAAACAATGGATATTTATGTTGAAGTGAACAGACAATAGCTGTTAACAGGATGTTAACGTGCCAAAGGACCCTAAATGACCCTTGAGACTCAGCTGAAAGGTTTGTAGATTTCTATCAAATGCTGATTTAAAAAAAAAATACTTTCAACTCATATGTAGGCTGGTAACTTTCCATGTCAAGAGGTAGAACTAATGCATATGTATACTGTTAAAAATGAGTTAAAACAGTAAGAAAGATATTCAATAAATTAGACACATTGTCCTGGACTCAAAAATATACCTATCATCTATATTGGAAATACTGAAGCTTTGTCAATTGAACCCCCAACACACACACTGTAAAGGGCCTTCAAAAATAATGTTTTGTTTTTTTTATCTTCTTTTAGGAATATGTTCCTCCTACAAATACAGCCGATATCAGTGGAACATGGGGAACCTCCTCTGCAACAGATCTCTTTCCGGTCTACATCAACTTCTTGCGAGGCAAAGTGAACCTCCTTCTCAAAGAGGCACAGGCTTGTCAGACTGATGTCAGCTGATCTACTGTATTGCACTCTGGGCAGAACGTGTTTCTGTTTCCAAAGTCAAGAGGAGAAAGTTGTTAGCGTTCTGGACGATGGTTGTGGCGTGGAAAGAAATTCACAGCTGTCCTTGCTAAAATGTAGGAAGAAAAAAAATCACAGCTAGACTGTGGATGGACAGGGGATTCTTGCACTTTGGACCGTTCATTTGTCCAATGGCCTTGGTAAAGAACAAAACGAAGCCTTGTGGATGCGTCGCTCCAATTGTTGTTCTACTGGCACTGGTTCTCTTGCACTTTGTGTGTGAATGTACTTCTTGTTTGTGTGAGTTACTCCACATAGCGAGCATTTGATTGTTTTACAGTACCTGGGTCTGCACCGACAATCGAGTGAGTTTGGGAGTGGAACGCTCACAACACATGTAATGCACCAGGAAAATTGGAGGATTTAAAGGCTGTGACTGGGTGATCATTTTTAAACATGACAACAAAACATAACAATTGTAATTGAAAAACAATTGAGGCTTCAACTTAAAAGCAAAAGTTCTAAGCTATCTCTAAAACACAGTTCTCATCTCTGCTTTTTAGTATTTTAATATATTTTTTATCAGTTGTTAAATAACTATTTATATACAGATTTTCTACCCTAAAGCTAATGTGTATATACTTTTAGCATCAGAGATTTTAGTATGGCTCTCCTTGCCTTGTGCTCAACCTTGATCACATTTTCTGAGGTGTTTTGATATACACTATATGACCAAAAGTATTGGCTCACCTGCCTTGACTCATACTATGAACTGAAGTGCCATCCCATTCCTAACCCAGAGTTCAATATGATGTCGGGCCACCTTTTGCAGCTATTACAGCTTCAACTCTTCTGGTAAGACTGTCCACAAGGTTGAGGAGAGTGTTTATAAGAATTTTTGACCATTCTTCCAAAAGCGCATTGGTGAGGTCACACACTGATGTTGGTGGAGAAGGCCTGGCTCTCAGTCTCCGCTCTAATTCATCCCAAAGGTGTTCTATCGGGTTCAGGTCAGGACTCTGTGCAGGCCAGTCAAGTTCATCCACACCAGACTCTGTCATCCATGTCTTTATGGACCTTGCTTTGTGCACTGGTGCACAGTCATGTTGGAAGAGGAAGGGGCCCGCTCCAAACTGTTCCCACAAGGTTGGGAGCATGGAATTGTCCAAAATGTTTTGGTATCCTGAAGCATTCAAAGTTCCTTTCACTGGAACTAAGGGGCTAAGCCCAGCTCCTGAAAAACAACCCCACACCATAATTCCTCCTCCACCAAATTTCACAGTCGGCACAATGCAGTCTGAAATGTACCGTTCTCCTGGCAACCTCCAGACTCGTCCATCAGATTGCCAGATGGAAAAGCGTGATTCATCACTCCAGAGAACGTGTCTCCACTGCTCTAGAGGCCAGTGGCGGCGTGCTTTACACCATTGCATCCGACGCTTTGCATTGCACTTGGTGATGTGCGGCTTGGCTGCAGCTGCTCGGCCATGGAAACCCATTCTATGAAGCTCTCTGCGTACTGTACTTGGGCTAATCTGAAGGTCACATGAAGTTTGTAGCTCTGTAGCAATTGACTGTGCAGAAAGACCTCTTTGCACTTTATACACCTGTGGCCAGGCCAAGGGATTAGGACACCTGATTCTGATCATCTGAATGGGTGAGCGAATACTTTTGGTAATATAGTGTAATTCATTCTGGCATGCTGCTGATTTCCATTGTATAGACTGTGCCAGATCTGTTTCTAACTGCATGTTAAAAAAAATAAAATCAGGTTCAGTTAGAGAGCGAGGGGGGAAATGGTCTATGAGGACTACCATTGTGATCACCATCAGGCTCTTTGATCATCATCTGCGTCACAGTTGACCAGTGTCAACAGACGAACGTAAACAACAGTCCGAGAAGATGTTGTGTTTAGCTCTTACAATTAACATCCTGTGGGACTCTAACTGCAAATAGTTTTCCAGAATACGATACTGATGATCCCTTCCTCCCGGCTCTGTTGTTCATACAGAAGGCAGGCAATCAGTTGGTCCTGGCAATTTGTGGTTCCTATTAAATGGAAACTAAACTCTTTCGGACTGGTGAAGTGTTCTTCCTGGCTTCTTCCTTATTTTTATATATTTTGTTGTGCAAGCTGAGAACGCTTTAAGGATGTTTGTACATGGTCTCGTTCCTGTATTGTTGTGTTGTTTTTTCCCTGTATGATTTACTATTTAAATACAAAAAATATTATTATTGCAACAAGGATGGGTAGATGATAGATGGCAGACAACAGGAGGAATAATGTCCTTTTGATTAAGTGTTTTTAAAAAAAATACCATTGGCTTTATAAGCTGAATACAGGCTGCTAGCAAAGACTCTTCAACACTCCCTGATAATTTTTTCCTGAATTTGTAAAACAGATGAGACATTTAGAGAAAAATTCATGCCAACATAATTTATTATTAATATTACTCTGACTAAACCATATGCATTACTTCCTACAGGCAAAGTGTAACCAATGTTAACATCAGCAGTGAAAATGACACATCGCTGAAAGCAAATGCTTTTCTACTTCTAACTGGGATTGTTCCATCCTATAAACCAGTTTCGAGAGGCGCATGTGGCTTTTCCAGAAGTCTAAGTAACTCACCAATGACATCTAGTGGCCATTACCAGCAACAGCTCGAATAGGAATTGGATTTTGGATTTATACTATTAAAACAAACAAAACTAATCCTTTGCACACTTCACATGTAAAAACACAGATGTATCTCAGATGCTGCCAGGTCAACATACACTGCATTAATACTTCATAATTAAATGTAATAATTAGCTGTACAACACCACAGTGGCATTCGACATGCAAACTTCAAAATCAAGATACTGCACATGACGTAAGTGAGCACAATGTACTCGGGCTAATGACACTGTCTCTGTTCAGGGTTTAACCATACAGACACTGGTTGAATTCTTGCCTGTCTGTTCCACTCTACAGTGTTCTTTCAATGTCATTAAAGGTCATTACAGAAAAGAAACCAAACACGTGATGTTTTCTTGTATAACTGGGCCTAGGTGGACTGTGCTGCATATACTGGGCACTTTGTCAATCATGTCACTGGGGTTCAGGGTAGAAAACCTTTATGTGAATGGCCGAGTTGTTGCGTGTTCGTGTCATGGGCTCCGCAGCCTCGTCAGGGTCCTCAGGCTCCAAATCGTCCACGAGCTCAACGGTAGAGGTGTTTGCTGCCAGCTGTAGTGCACCCTGGCTGCTGGCCTGGAGCTGAAGGGCAATATTAATAGCCCTATTAATGGCTAGACCGAGGCCATGGACACAGATCTCCCTGTGACCACCACCTTCTAGAAGCTTCTGACAGCGAGCCAGCTGTGCCCGGAAATCAGTCTTCATGTTAACGTAGACATCATTGCGCCTCTTTGGCAGTTTTCTGGGGAGCCGCTTTCTTAAGGTATACTCCACTGGGTCCATCTCTACACCAGTGGAGGTGGAGTCTGTATGTACGTGAGCCTGAGGGACTGAAGACATCCTGGGACTCTAGTTTGTTTTGCAGTGTCACTTGATTTAACGGGCCAAATGCTGTGGAAACCATAGTAACATTATTCCAGGTCAATTTAGTCAAAATGTATAAAAATGTTAAAATTAATAATTAATAATTTGACATTGCATGACAATGTAATTTGGAAAAATGACTTGAATGCTTCTCGTGTTTATTTATTTTTCTATTAGTTATTAGGAGTTGCTAAAAATGACATCCTTAGAAGATTTAATCTATCCTCTTCCACACAAGAAATAATTGCAACAAACACTGAAATTAATTTCTTAACCTTACTATCGAAATGCAAGAGCTTCAATTCTTTGTCAGCGCAGAAACACATTTTAGTGTTTGTAAATAATGGACAGAATACACAAAATACACTTCACTTGTGATGAGATTACCAAACTGCAAGTGAAAGACACGGCCCAGAAGTGAATAAAAAGAGGCTGGCTGAGCCGAGCACTTCATAGGGACAGAAGAATTAAACAGTACCAACAGTTCTTGACCAAAACCCTTCTACGTAAATGTTGCAGTGTTTTACAGACCTCAGTGATTGTACAAGTTCACTGACTCGGAGACGAGAGAGACGCATCAAACATTATCATTAACTAGAACAGTGGCAATACGGCTTGTAAAATATATGCGTAACCATGTTAGCATTTCATTGGGAATGCGTTCGAGTAAATTCCATAAAACAAACTCACCGTCTGTCTGAGGAAGGTGTTGAGTAAATGTATTAATTCTCTTAATACCGTCTCTTCATAAGCGTCTGTGGACACGGAATTCCATCTACAGTGACATGGCTGAAAGCAAACAGAATTTTCTAATCAAGTCGCCGTGAACCGGAAGTACATTTAGGGGTTAAATCACCAAAACAAAACAGACATATTTGATAAAAATTTCACCAACCGATCTTAGCATATTGTTCTACC